CAACACCACCACCACCACCACCACCACCACCACCAACACTACCACCACCATCACCACCACCACCACCAACACTACCACCACCGCGTTCACCTCCTAACTTTCCCCATTCTCATATACATAATGAACAAATGAACGATTATTATCACACAGATGGTATTAAAAAGCTATCAATTCAAGCCGAGAATAAAATTAACGGATGCAGAAGGCGGGGTTTGCAGAGTGAAGAAGAAGTAGATTGTAGATTGGAGTAAGCAACATGGTCTTCATGAATAACTGTATTCATTTGCACCTCTTCAAAACTGCACCCACTCCGGTCTATGTAGCAGGCAAACAGAATCCTACCAGATAACTGACTAACCCATTGCCGAAAGAGGAGATTTCGAATTGTTTTTTTTGTTTTTCAAAACTACAAAATTCACACTCCGTCCAGACGAGCTGTTCTCTTATCTCGTTCATGGTGGACGATCTGCATCCATGAACTTCAAGTTGCATGTTCCAACTTTTAAGGCTGGTGGAATTTCCCTATTATATCCGCTAAAAGTATAAATTATTATTGAAGAAAGGAAGAAACATACCAATCGGGTCTGGTGTTTCCAATTTTATTATCTTCAATGACTCAACTGTGATTTCAATTGAAATCGATCAGATCTACACAACCCTTTTCCAGACGACCGCTTTTACCAACGGATTGTGTTGAAAATTGTTCCGAAATTCTCTGACAGCGAATCATTCTTAATTCATCCTCCTCCCGGGGTTATCGATGACAAATTGAAGCCATAAAGAAACGTCACTGAATCTGTCGTTCTGTCCAGAATTGTTGTTGGGAGCCCTAGGTGAAGCTTTTTCAGACATAGCGTTATATAGCGTTATATTTTTATAGTTCCGCAGCTCACTGGCCTCAAATTTTGGGCTACTGTGTGCACGATCTTTGGAATGGACCAGATCCTGCCTAACCTGTCACCAGCACTCAAGAATTAGCCTGAAATATGCCATGAAAATCTGTTATTTTCGATAGAACAATTGGGGCCAAACTGTATATGAATGGCAGGCGCTACGATGTTAAACAACTATCGATTATCATCAAGGCAGAGATTCAGTGCTTGAATCGGATGTGTCGATTTCATTCTGGGGAACCAGAGCTATCGTGCGATGTGGTCGGTGTTGAAGCAACTCTGTGACACATGTGGGAGGTTCTGTCGCCTGCCTCCTCTGGATCCAATTCTCTACCGTCCGTTTTCAGTTCTTCAGAAAACACCAACCCTGTTTCTCCAACTGAGGTTCTCGAAGTTTTGAAGCAACTTAAGTCAAACAAGGCCCACGGACCGGACTCATTAGCCTCTATTTTATTGAAAACTTGTGCCGAACACCTTGCAACTCCCGTCGCTGAGTTGTTTAATTTGTGTATGTCCTTCGGAACAATTTTGGATTCCTGGAGAACTGTCCGCATAAGACCCATTCCCAAGTAAGGTTCTTCAAAATATCGACCGATTGCATGTACCGCAGCCCTGTTGAGGGTCTTTGAAAGAGTGCTGTTAAACAGTTTGACTACCCTCGCTGATGTTTTTATCCTCTTCAGTTTGCTTATAAGAAATCCTTTTCGACTGTTGACGCTGTGGCGAATATTGTCCATTATGTAGTCTCAGTTCTTGATACGAGTGCTGGAACTGTTCGCCTTGACTACGCTAACGCCTTTGGTTCGCTTGACCGTCGTATACTCATTCAACATCTTACTGACTACCGCTTAGGACCCGATGCGTTAAACGTTCTTTTAAACTACTTCTCTTTTAGGACGCAATTTACCTCATGCAATGGTAAAACGTTGTCGTCTTCTTTGGTTAACTCTGGTGTCTTCCAGGGCGCCATTTTGTCTCCCTTCTTTTTTGCCCTTACATAAACCACCACTTGCCTGTCCCTATCAACTTTATTGCCTGTAACTATGCCAACGATGTGGTGATTGGGTGCCCCTTCAATACTGATGCTTCTTTCCACCAACTTCAAAGCAGTCTGAACAACATTTTTAGTTGGTATCTAACCCCCGATCAATCTTGTTTAATGTTTCCCAATGTATCGAAGTTCCCTTCAGCCTTAAATCTGGCTCTCGTTATCAAACTTTAATGATTTAACGGATCTAGTAGTTAACAGTCACAGCATTCCCAAAGCTGACTCTGTTAAATACCTCGGAGTCTTTTTATCCCTTACATGTAGAGAACAACAAGGTTCGTAAACTTTCGGTTTGTGTCAGGCTTAGGAAGCTTGTTTAATGTTCCCCCCCCCCCAAAAAAAACGTAATTTTAAAATTCATTGACTGTACTGTTCCAAAATAAAAAGATTTCATTCTAATTTGCAGATCCAAAAAAAACTCCCGCATCCCGATATAGTGGCCTAGCAGTTCTGAGCAGTTCTGATTGATTGATTTTATTGTGTGCAAACATATCGATCGACACGTGGGAAATAATAGCCGACAGAATCTTGCACAACGAAAATCATTGCTTGCACAATGAACTTCTTAAATCCATTTCGAAACGGCCATACTCGCTCCCATTATAGGCTCCTTCCCGGCACATGCATCGTCGCATACAGAAACAGTATGCGCCGTTTTCTTGCTCGCGGTTTAGTAAATCGAGCACCAATTATTACAGGTTTTGTGAAGCACCTCATAAATCAGTTTATTTATTTATTTTTAATCTATCACTCTCATTTTTCGCGCTTACACTTTGCTGTTCGTTTTTTGATTTAATGTATTCACATACTGATGCAATCTCCTCTCCCACTCCCTTCAATTCCACTGTATGATCCTGAAAAATCGCTAAAAATTCACCCTCTAGGTGCACAAAGCTTACTTTGATTTGATTTGACTAGTAACCAACATAGGAAGATACGGATCATGTAAGAATAAATATCATTGGTTGAACAGGTCTCCGCCAATCACCTACTCCCATTCTTGACATTATACTGCTTCCGTTTGAACCGCACGACTTCTGATCGACCGTTTGGCCTATGGTTTGTCGTCCACGCACTGTAATCCGTCGTACCGCAGTTGACGTTACCTCGTAGGCTATGCTCACTACACACACAACTTCATAACTATGCTATCCAAGATCGACATGACAGGAAGGGAAACATCTTTCTGAAAGTTGATCCATTTCCATGAGAACACAAGATCAACCCCAAAATAATCCACTGACCATTTCCGATATTTCGTGGAAGGTGCCGGACTGAACGAGCAATCAATCTGATTGGCCGCTTCTGCTCTGGAATGTTTCAACAGCGGTTATCGCGCACATTTTCCAGAACACTCAAGGTCATTTGATGAATATATCATAAACCCGTTATGCCTTGAACCGGAATACAGTTTTACTCCCTTGAATAAAGCTCTAGCACTGATCTTGTCGGTTTCTGAATTTATGAGGTTGGTGACCCTGAACGTCGAAGGCTGATTGGTCTAAGCGTAAC